TGTGTGTGTGTGTGTGTGTGTGTGTACATAGTGCCTGAAATGGGATGCTTGTATTGTAAATAGAGATGTGACTTTGACGCCCTGTTCTGAACATTCCTAAGTTATATATTGTATCTTACAGTGTCATGCTGATTAAGTAATAATCTGATCTATTCCTTTTAGAAGGATATATTCATGATACATATATACATTCAGCTATTGAACATTTGTGTGTTTAATTTTTGTGTGGTTCCACAAATGTCTGCATGCATTTGGCATTAATTTTGGTTCCACCATACCAATTCATACTCATAAAATTTCCTTTTCAGGATTAATGTGTAGTTATTGAAAATTTGAACAAATTCACTAAATTCTCTTCACAGATTTAGTCTGTAATCACTAGTCCATCCTTTATCATGTAGTAGCTCAATTTTTTGTTATCTGTGTTCATGTTATGCACCTGAGTATGCATGCATATGAGAATTAATATTGGCCCATGGACAGCATCTCAGGGCTAGAATAGAAGAGAAAATCTATCTTTCCACTTTTGTTAGCTTACTAAATAATATAAGACACTCACACATTTTTCACTTCACCATTCTTTCACAAAATTATACATTATACATTATAATGTTGCCTGGTTTTCATAGTGAAAGAATTATGCATCAACATGTAGCTGATGCAATTGCAAGAGTAGAAGTATGCTTAAATAGCCAGCACATTTTAGTGGCATGCAGAGGTGCACACCAATGTCAGATTGACATAGAGTTTCTTCCAGGTATGTGTGGTGATCTTTTGTGTACCCTAAATAATGTGCTTGAAGATCAGAACACAGAACAAGCCAATAGATTAAATATAGAGGACAGGAAGTGGTGGTACATATCTGAAATCCTATCACGGGGGAAGCAGAGATCAGTTTGTATCTCAGATCATTCAAAGCTAACATGAACTACTTGGGATTGACTCAGTCTAAGGAAAAACCAAGCCAGGCATCATTGGAATACACTTTTAATTCTAGTACTCAGTTGTCATTTAACTTTAACACCTGCACATGAGATATCATACCTTTAATCCCAGGTTTTGGGAAACACATATACCATTAATCCCAGGACTAGGAAAGAAGTGATGGCTGGATAGACTAAGGTATATAAGGCACAAGGACACAAGGACTAGAGGCTTTTAAACTGGATAGCTTTTCGTTAAGGAATCAGAGCCATTTATTGAGATATCTCATGGAGTTGGCAGAGTGAGACATGGCAGCGTCTTGTTCCTTTGTTTCTCCCATATATCAAAATTTACCCCAATATCAGCTTCCATTTTTTTAATGAAATAGTCTGCCTACTGTTTGTACAACATTTATGGATTTCACCAAATATGATAAGTAAACTCTCTATTAAATTTCAGGTATTTTACTATACCTACCAACTGTAACACAAATCTTAAAAGTTCTTATTAATAAAAACAAACCTGAAGGCAGGAATTGGGGTGAATACTGGAAGATCAGAGAAGCAGATCAAGCCACAGAAACCTCACATTGCCAATTACTTAAATGATCCTGTTTCCTCATAATGGAAGCCACTGAGTCCTGATCCAGAATGAATCTCAGCTAAACTGCTGCTTGAAGACTAAAAGCTTAAACAACTCTAGTTTCTGGTCTTCAAGTCTTATCTACCTTTTTTATCCCTGTCATCACTTCCTGGAATTAAAGTCTCTTGTTACCAGGCCTGGCTGTTTCCAGTGTAGCCATGAACTCAAAGATATCCAGACAGATCTCTGACTCTAGAATGCTAGGATTAAAGGCGTGTGTGCCACCATTTTTTGGCCTCTATGTCTAGTGGCTGTTCTGTACTCTGACCCCAGATAAGTTTATTAGGATGCAAATATTTTGGGGAACACAATATTACCACAACACACTACCAATGCATTATGTCCCAAAACTGGATGGTAATGCAGAATGTCATATTTTCATTTGTATATTCCAATAATATTTCCAAGTTCTTCATAATTTAGAGCGGATAGCTTGCTGATATATCCATCTACAATGTGGTGTAGAGTATAAAAAGAGAAACATAAAGTAACTTGAGGTATATTCCTCAGAGTACACACACACATTGTGTTATGCAACCAACAAAAATTTCCTATCTCTAAAGCAATCCTTTTTCGTCCACCACTTTCAAACTTGTTTTTTGGACTCCTGGATAAAAAACATTAAGATTAAGCCAGTATCTCCACACTTCTTTTGTAATCCCTCATTCATAGAATAAGAGGTACACTGAGGAA